TACATAATAGCGTCGAAAACCAACCGAGTCAGTGGAATGTAAAAAAAAGAAAAGGTACAGACACAATTTATCAGGAAATGAAATATCCAAAGAAAGACTGAGCAAATCGATTTTTATGGAGGTACACAGGTACATATACATACATACGTACGTATATATTACATTTATGTAAATTTTTCTCATAAAAGTTTCTGGCATAGAGAAATAAGGAAGGGTCGCCTACAAAAGCGACGTCGATGTTAGGGGACCCAGCGCTCAGAGTATACATGTGTACATTGGAAAGGCAGTATGTATGAATGAGCAGAGAATATAGACAAAAATACAAACAAATCCCCAATGCATACAAACTATATTTAACCCTGGGAGTATGTACATGCTTCATCGAATCGATAAAGCCAGTTTGAATTTTTTCGAAACTCGCCGAAAACTTGTACTATGAAAATGCCACTTTTAAATCAATTTTACAACTAAAAAAAATTAAATTGTTTGGTTTTAATTGAATTGAATTTTGCACTTTATGTTTCTGTAACTCGTCTCGATTAATATTCTCGATTGAAATAGTAGATTTGATGTATAATTTAGTCGATATCTCGATCGAGAATTCAGTCGATTTCTTAAAGCATAAACAGGCGGCAGCGTTCATCCGGATCAACTCGGGAATTAACTGCAGTTGATCCGAATTAAGTCCGAGTTAATACGGATCAACGTTGCTGTATGTTTAAGCTTTTACAGAACTTCACTACTGAATAGCTTTAAAGCAGCGCTGGGCAGAGAGAGCTTTTACTCTGCTCGCCTCTGTAAAAAAATGTATAGAGAGCTTAAAAGAGCTTCGGGCAAGGCAGTGCCCATCAGTGCTTTAAAGCCATTATGTGTAGGACCGTCGTTGATTTGATGAAGCTTTCGACGAGTCCCAATAGATAATTTCAGGACCTAAACGCTCTTCTAAAATGCCTTCAAGGTCAATTGGCCTTTAACTCTACATCGCTTTCTCCTTTTTTTCGTACAGAGTGATACAAATTGAAGTGATTAGCGTAGATTATAAATAGAAAGCGACCTTCTAGAAGTCATGCAGGCAAGCACTTTTTTCAGCGCTTCTTGGGTAGGCATTTTAGAATGGCTTCATTTAAGAAGGCCTACCTAACTTATCTTCATGGGTACTTGCATATAAAAAATAAGCATATATGTACTTCCAGGGTTAAAATTGATAGCCGACAGATCGAATATCCAGTATCTGTAATTTATACATATCTTTAGGCATTATTCAACAACCACCAAGGGCGTAAATTTGTAGGCAGCGTATACCTATGTAAATAAATATGTACATATATACATACATACATACATACATATGAACATGAATGTATAACTTTACAGCCCAGTGGCGGTGAGTACCTTGGAAAATTTCTCGAACTCAGCTCCCCTAGGGCGTTTTCATTACAAAAAAAAATTATAGATACATACATATATGCATATTGGCATACCCAAGAGTATATGCGCATATACACGTACACCCTAAATCACTAAAAGCAATCAAGAAGAACCCACCTTCATGAATTGTATGTATGTATATGTACATATGTATATGTATATGTATGTAGCACAAAGTTACCGGTTGTGTGCATGATTAATCGTACTATAACGCCCTGCTGCTAGGTACCATAGCCTCAGCCAGCACATTTTAGTTCTCGCCCTTGTTTTCCTTTCCTGTTTGTTGAACTTTTTCATTTGGTATTATTTTTTTTTTTTGTGAGAAACTAAGCGAACGAAGACCCTCAGCTTTTACATAGAATTCGTATATTGAAGCCCACGAAGTAGTGTGGCATAGAGGGTGGGTTGTAGTAATGTACATAGATGACAGAAATCTAGTAAACAAGAAAGACCTAAAAAAAAAAATTAAAAAAAAATGGAGTTAAATAATGGAAAAATAAAACAAACAAATCGAACAACTAAATCCTTGAGAATAGCGTTACGAAGTAAAGAAGTCTTAGCTCCTTCGCTATAAATAAATTCTCCCCATACAAGTCCCCTAGCCTAGACAATATGGGTGCCCTTCATCAAGTTATGGGTACCATAGAAAAATCAATCTATTACAAGCAGTACACGTTGGCGCTCTTCCTCGAAAAAGAGGGGGCTTTGAATAACATTACAATTAGAAATAGAATCATAATTTCAACCATCGGTTCAGCTACACTGTCCCGTTATGCAAATAGAGGCACTCTCCAAACGGGAGTTCTGCCTCCGCTTCTACGGGTTGTTGCACTGAACGACATTCTATTGCACCTCAACAAAGGTGGAGTGCATGTAATATCATAGTATGCAGTTCATGTAGGGGTGGCAGTATCAGGTCTCTTCCCCTCAACGATTAGTGAAACATTTAAGGAAGCTTTGCTCAGGTTACTCATCTGGGTCGCAGAAAATGGCGCGGGTGTCAATCCGAAAAAAAAACGGAACCGTTGCCGTTTACACAATTCAAGCTTCCTTCCTTTAATGGAGCGACTCTCACATTGTCTTCCAAAGCGAAATACTTGGATGTCGTACTAGACACCAAACTGAGCCGGAAAGCAAATATAGCGAGAATATTCAGCAGAACGGGGGTTTAAAGCTAAATCTTGACCTCTGGATCAGTGATGATCAAAACAACTCTTCTCAAAGCTCTCTGCAGACTTTATATGGACGTGCACAGAGTAATCTCTGGGCGTCACTACGCTGGGTGTTCACGGCTATAATATGACCAATACTAACGTACGGGGCGTTAATCCTGCATGCCTCTCTCTCATTCCGAATATCGAACTCTGCTAGCATCTTCCAAGCGGAAGTACTGGGAATCGAGGGGGCGTACAAGGCATTAGAGAGGAACTGCGCTGGGGGACAAAAAGCTTATATTTTCTCAGATAGCCAAGCGGTACTTCAGGCACTTGCCTCACCGGTAAAAAAAAAAAAGTCTAAAAAATTCAGAGATTGCAATAGCGCTTTAAGCTCGACGGCCGACATCTCTCTCATCTGGTTTACCGGCCTTATGAACATACATGCATGAAAAAGAGAGAGCTGGCGAGTTGGGTAATAATAAACCGTTCACTAGAACTCATCAAAAGAGAACTGCATTTGAAATTCTCACGTATGACTTACACGTTGGAACGACCTTCAAACCTGCAACAGAACCAACGACAGAGGAACTTCTAAAAATGTTGAGGAAGGATCACCTGCAACGATAACGGAACATTGATTATTAAAACAAAACAAAAAATATTGAAATGGAAAAATGGTCAAATAAAACTTAAATACGAGGAATATCCTTGGATTTTAAAAGGGACATTTTTATTATTTAATTTTTTTATTGACATTTGAAAAAATTCAGTATTCATATAATGGAAATTTTAAGAGAAAGGGGGCAAAAGGCTTAAATCATTTATTTAGAAAATGTATAAAGTACTGAAGGTTAAAATAACTGTCTTTTAATTTTTTTATAAAAGCAAAGAATCGGAAAATTCCGAAACCTCGTAAAGTCCCTAAAAATCTCGCGAAATAACTGAAAAAATAATTTCAAGAATCCCGAAAAGTTCTGAAAATTATAATATAAAAAAGCCTCAAAACGGTGCAAAACCTTTAAAAATTCCGATAAGTAAAACTCGAAGAATGTCCTAACGCCACTTAAAAATCTGAAGAACGTATTTAAAAGTTTCTGAAAATCTCCAAATCATGTGGCATTATTTTCAATTCCTTAATTAAAACCACCGAAAAATTACCGATTACTCATTCCTTTCCTGAACCGTTTAGAGCAGTGAAAGCTCCAATAAGCGGACAGCGATGATCACTTACTTTTTGTCCGCCTATGGGAGATGTCCGCTTATGAGAATTTCGCAAATAATATTAAAATTAAAATGTAAAAAATTTAAATTACGGGTTCCCAAAAACAGAATTAATGGAAAATAAATTCAAATTCATGGCATTTTCTTTTCTACCGACAAATCTTATTTCCCGCTTCGCTGAAGCAGTAAGAAGAGGGCAATGAAAAGAAAACTTTTTTTTAGAAAAGAAAACATCCGCTTATTAGAGCTTCGCGTCCGCTTATGGGAGATTTCTTTTTCATAACTACACATGTTTGAGTGTTCACGTCCGTTTCTCGAAAAGTCCGTGTATGGGAGATCATTTTGTATGGAAAAAACCAAACAATGTTCGTTTCCAAGAATGTGTCTGCTTAAAGGAGATGTCCGCTTATTAGAGCGTCCGTCTATGGGAGCTTTCACTGTATATATATATATATGCATCAACTAAAGTCATGCTAGAGATAGGCGCGGAATATCGGGACTCACGGTGTTGATTTCAAAAGTTCCGGGATGGGCATTATCGGGAAGGTCTCGGTTCGGGCAGGACGAAACCAAAATTCCATTCACGACACTCCTGATTAAATCGCAACCTCCGCAAATTCTGAAAATCTCTCTTAAAACGTTGTGTGAATATGATGTTTTTATGCCTTATTGAGAACAAAACGAACAGCAAAGGCAAAACCAAATAATCAGAAGATGCCAGATCTTTTGTATTTTTTTTTTTATTATTTAAAATTAATTTCAAAGACATGTGAAATTTTCTTAGTGATTGATTTCGGGACCGGCGGTACAATTCTGAAAAACGTCGGGATGGGCGGGAACGGGATTGAATATTTAGTCCCGTTCCCATTTCTAAGACATACCTTATTCGGTACATACTTTAGTAATTGGCACCCTGGAAAGGTTAAGTATTTAGTATTTAGCATGTCTTAAATACTTAAATACTATTTACTTCCGTATTTGCCAACTTCAAAATACCATCTAAAATACATAGTATGTATTTTGATCTCTGTAAAGCTTAATTGTATCATTATTCCTTAATTTAATTACGTACATATCGAAATACAGAACTTATTTTGAATATGCATACAAATACTTATGTTTATACATACGCTTAATTTGGCTGAAAACTTATTCTGGTCACTCATGCCAACTTTTCTTCTCTACTCTCCACAGATCAGCTGTTATCGGTAACGGTTTCCAAAAGTCGCGTAATCCAAGAAAAAAAATTTGCAGCGGTGAAATTTAAATTGTATCAAAAGTAAATAAAAGAAAAACCAGCATGCCAACTATAAGACGCTGCTGTATTGTTGGATGTCTTTCAAATTCACGCCAAAGTCCACAACTACAGTTCTTCCAATTCCCGCGCCCGGAAAATCCGTTTTTTAATCTATGGAAGCAAGCCTGCCATGCTTCCCTGAGCCGCATTCTACCATTCAAGAAGCCCGTTGTTTGTGCACTTCACTTCCATCCTAACCTTATAGGCGGACGTAGACTAACATCTTCGGCAGTACCATCTCTGCGTCTAGACGTTCCCAATGATTTGAAAGCCGTTGAACAGCAAGCTATGGTAGAGGAAATTGAACGCAGCCGTAAGTGCGCATATATAAATGCCGTCGTCTATGAGTGGTTAGTACGTGCTAATCTAAATCCTCAGCTACGTGGTTCCATAACGCATGGTATGATTAAGGAAAAGGCTGCTTCAGCGGGACAGCTTATTGGCTCGACATCGTTCGTGGCTGACAATCGTTGGCTCAATCGCTTCCGTGAAACACACTTAACTGGTTTTGCACAAAAATTGGCCAATAATCAGTTAAAACCGCTAGGAGTATCTCTCTGGATTCCAGATATTGTACAAGACCTCCAACATCTATTTCCACCTACGAGCGCTGAGCGTGTTGCCAAATTAGAAAGTTTACCGGAACATTATATGAACTACATGCAACAGTATGGTGAATATGAAGAGGATGATGATCAAGATTCGCAGGGTCAGTCCTTGAAGGAGCAACAACAAAGTCACGCCGGTTATGACGCTTACGGTCAACCGCTGCCGAATTATAATAATGGCAGTTATGATGGGTATGAAGGCTATTACGATCGACAGAATCAACATAACAGCTATAACTCGCCACAACCCTCACGACCAGCCTCACACTCACCTCCACAGCAGCAGCTGCAAAAATTAGCCTCTCCAGCGCATCGTGCCAGCCCAATACAACAGCCACCTACAAAACGAGCACGTTCAGAGGATGACGAAGTCACGGAAATACCGAATGGTAACAATGTGACTGATTTGACGAGTGATTGCGAAACAAACGAGTGCGATATAAAACCCATAAAACTGGTTAATGGCAAGAACACACCTAACGGCAGTAGTGGGCATACACCAGCGCCTTCACCGAAACCTGTCACAAACGGCAATGGCAGCACGAATGGTGTTAATAAAGGTGCGGAAACGGACCTTACATCTTATACACAAGCTCTCGAATATCTTAAACCTTTGGAAGACTTTGCACTTTCAATGGAAAACTTCCGCGCCATAGGATTAATCTCACAATTGGAGACCATATTAAGAAAGGGTGAAAATAGGCGGTTAGCTGCTACCCAGTAACATTTCTACGACGAGATAATAACAGGACTTTATGTCTTATTCCTTCAGGCTGATGTGATTTACTTGTGTAAATAATTTTTAGAAAGTTCTAGTATTATTAGACTCTATGTGCTAACATAACCGTTATTGATGCACCCTTATCTTTTTCTTTAATTACTCTATTTAGCAATAAAAAACTACTATATAGTACTTAGAAGTCAGTCAATGGGAAAATTAAAATAAAAAAACGGTGACAAAGACATTGTTAATATATTATTTATTATATGGTATAATTTTGACTGTAAAAATAAATAAAAGGATAGGTACAGCTGTCCTCTTAAAACAACTTAAAAATATGTGGTTTTAATTTATTCTAAAATAATGCCATTAAGCTACTAAAAGTAGAAAACGAATTTCATACATTTATGTAAAATAAAATACAGAGAGTGCAAATAAAAGCAGACATTAAACATAAATATTAATACTCACATCGCTAATTAATAGCAGTTCAGAATCAAATACGCAAAAATGCTTTTAGTACAAAATGACCTTTGTCCGATCCCAGGGTAGTTAAGTCCACTTACTTTTAAGAAAAGAGGTACTGCCACACGCACAACATCTCCGTGAATATAAAAAAGATGTTTAATTTTTCTTATATAATTAGCGTTTCCATTTGACTGCTTTCCT